TAGTATATATATGCTAGCTATATATATAGCTAGCTATATTATACTGCTGGCTCATGTTCAGCATTTGATCCATCAAGACTCCCAGATTCTTTGCCTATGAACTCCTGCCCAAAGTGGTTCCCCCATCCAATACTCATACTTTAGATTTTCCCTACTCAAATGTAAGATTTTGCATTTATCCCTGTTGAAATTCACCTTGCTGGTTTCTGCCATTCTTTCCAGCTTCTCATGATCCTCCTGAATTTTGATCCTGTCCATCTAAGGTGTTAGCTATATCCCCAACTTTTGTTGTTTGAAAATTTGATAATCGTATTTTATAACCATTCACCCATTTTATTAATAAATATATTGAGCAGCAAAGAGCCTAGAGTAGCGTTTGTGTATATCACTTGACACTTCCAACAATGTGATGCTATTGATGTACACTTGTTCATTTTGATCACCAACTCTGTGTCCACTGAATGGTAGCATAGTCCAGTCCACATTTTGCCATCTTCTTCATTAGAATCTCATGGGAGATTTTGTTGAATGCTTTTCTGAAGTCAAGGTAGACTATGTTCACCACATTCCCATAGGCAATTAAATGGGTCCTCTGTCAAATAAGGAGATTGGGCTGATTTGGACTGATTTATTCTTGATAAACTATACTGGTTTCTGCCAAGCAATGCATTATTTTCTAAATACTCATAAACCACCTGCTTAATAATCTGTTCAAGAGATTTGCCCCTTATTAATACAAAGCTGACCCAGATCTTTTCCACCATTCTCCAATTGTCTTCTCTTTCCTTTTTCCTCCTTTTACTGCTGACATAGTGAAAAAAGACCTTTTTTGTTGCATTTAGCTTCCCTTGTGATACTGTTACTTTTGGCTTTAGCTTTTTAACCTGTATTTCTGAAGATATTAGCTACTTGCTGGTGTACCTCCTTGGTGATTTACTTTATAATCCTACTTTATATGTGTCCCCTTTAACTCTTAGCTCAGCTGCAACTTCCCTGTGCATCCACAATAATCTAAGCTGCCTGCTCCATTTTTTTTTCTCTTTGGAGTGGTGTGTAGTTCTATTTTCAGAATTGATTTCTGAGTAGTTTCCAACCCTCAGTTCCCTTTGTTCTGAAGTTTTATGTCCATTGGATCCTGTCTAGTGCTTCTCTAAGTCTGTTGAAATTGGCTCTTCTAAAAATCTGGTGTGCATGTTCAACCATGCTCTCATTTCTATTTCCTATCCAAGTTGTAAACACATCAGATTCTATCTCATTATCTCAGGATCAGTCATGGTTGGCCAGGCACTGCCAAGTGGTCCAACAGCCTTAGATTGACTTGCACTTAATGCCTGTTTATCATATAAAAGCAATGCCTACATTAACTGGAATGGGATGACTGGTTTTTATTCCAAAAGAGAACAGCATTCCCATAAGGACACAGAGAAGCTTCGTTCCCAGAATATACTGAACCATAAATACCTCAACAGTGTTTTAGCTTAATGAGTTGTGTGGACTTGCCCACGTGATTAGTTTATGTTTCAGTGGCACCTAGCCAATATTATCTGGTCTCAAAGAATTAAGCAGGGTTAGACCTGGTTAGTACTTGGATGGGACAGAACAAGATAAAGTCATATTTAAATTGATCTCAACTCTCGTTGCTTCGTGGATGCATCTGTATAGTTTTCTTAACAACGCTAGAGAGATCTCAGCCCAATCATTCTAACAAGGGAAAGGTTAGAGGGAGCGCTACATAGACTGTCCTGAGCTCCTGGAGGAAAGATGGATCTAAATATAACAAATAAAACAATGCAGTGGCTTGCCATTGCCTTCTTGCAAAATACTTATTTTCCCTAAATTCCCCATCCAGTTTATAGTCCTGGGAATTCCTAGTGGACTCCCATCCCACCCCATTAAATTGGGTGCTTGGTATGCAGGTCGGCATTGTTAAACCACGGAGTTTTGCCACAGGTATTGAATCACTGGGTGACTTTACACAATATACTTAAACTGGCCACGAAATTAAGCCATTGTATGGGTTCATGCCATATGTGATACAAACCAACCAACCCCTTTTCTTTCACATATTAAGCCACAACAAGCTAACCAAAGTTAACCTTAATCAAACTTTGCATGTTGTACAAATACACCCCCTAGGTCACTTGACCTGCTTATGCCTGCCTTGCACACCTAGCCCATATGAGGATTACGCTGATACCGAGTTTAAGGCTACCAGACCTGGACTGCAAAATTTCAGATGACTACTAGATGGCAGCAAAGAGATAAATATTTCTGCTGTCTGGTCTGGTAGCCTCAGCTGAGCTTGATGTCTGGCTGAAACTGAATGTTGCCTGCTGATGTCCCTCAAGAAAGCACCCTCTGCTAGATCTACTTGGTAGCAATCACAGTGCTGGAATGTTAGAAATACAGACAGTCATCTTGACTTCCCACAATGCTTTGGAACCGGTTGTTATGACCAGAATGTGGTGCAATGTTTAAGTGCCAGATGACTTCTGGACTCAGTCATTTAACAGAAGCCTGATATGATGCTGCAGAATAGTTCAAGGATGCCAACTGCCAACAAAAGCCATCATGTCTTTTTCGAATGACACAGAATTCCAGAGTTGGAACAAACTCTGATGGTCTCAGGGTAAACTTCTGTCTCCCCCAACTTCTGCAACCTGATATCCTCTAGATGTGCTATGCTTCAGTTCTATAACCCTACTGATGGAATAATTAAATGTAAACTAGTAGCCAGGGGATGTTAAAAAAACTTCTAATACATAGTGCAAGTTATTGATGAAACTTGATATTGGATGATGTGAAAGTTTAGAGAATTGCAAAGGGATCCTTGGATTTTATAGATTCTTACTAAGGTTTGTAGCACCAGCCCCAATTAGGGTCTTTGGATGAAGCTCACCAGCTGTGACTTTATAATATCTGACCAACAAGACTACTAGACAGGAAGAGGTGCAAAGTAAATGACATTTAATAAGGAAATACTTTAATTTTTTTTGAAGTCCAAAGAGGCCATATCTAGAAATATTTTTAAAAATCCCCTCCATCATAATACATTTGGACACAGAAGACACAAATAACATTTGTTTAAACAGTGCCAAGACTTCTAATGATAAAGCACATATTCCTGTAACTTCATGAAGTAACATACAACCTTCAAATGGGACTTCTGGTCACTTCGCTGTTAAGAAACTGAAGTTTCCCAGGTGTGTTTAATTCAGATTTCCCACAGTTCCAAGTCTGGGAATGGCAGTTCCAAAACAGATAGGATTTTGCATTATGTTGAAGAAGGCTCTAATACATTTTTGCCCCCTTCCTTCCGGTGTCTTGGTCTATACATCTAATGATGAGTTGATTGCATAGTGAGAAAGGAAAAAAAAAAAAGCTGCTCAACAAAATTTAGGTCAGAGAATCACATTTTTGAATATTCCTTTACATCAGTGTTTCTCAAACATGGCTGGCTGAGGAATTCTGGGAGTTGAAGTCCACACATCTTAAAGTGGCCAAGTTTGAGAAACACTGCTTTACATTAAGAGCATGCTAGGGAGGAAAGAACTATGTTAAAATCTTAACAGCTCTTTTTCTCCTTGTTTACAGGATGTTTTTTTTTTAAAAAAGCCTTGGATGAAATTACTTTTGGAAGCTCCCCTATCTGTAGTCTGAAGTGGTAGAGCCCACTGTACTACGCCATTCTGTTGCACAAAAGGTCAAACTAAATATGGTGTTAATGGCATTTATACATAATAAACTCTACAAAGGAGAAATTCTTTTGGCAGGACACGTAGCATCAGATCTCCCTTGCTTCCAAGTCTATCTGTCTTACAGATGGATAGTGAGCATTTCCAAGACCAGAAGTAACATGTATAATCATATTTGGGTTATGATTATGATTAAATTGTCAGAATGTCAGAAACTTTATGACAACTCAAATATTGTCCTCCTTAAAGGAGGGAAAGACAGGCTCAGAGACTGAACTTTCTCTTTTATGGCAATTCAGCCATTGTTTTGCCTGAACTTACAGATTTTCTTCTCCCAAACTTGCCTTGACCTGTTTGAAAGGAATCCTCCAAAAACAGCAGCTGAAATGACTGTTTCCTAATATGGATCTCTCTCACACACATATGCATGCGCACGCACACACACACACACACAGAGCCCGGGATGGACAAAAAAGAGGGACTGGGGAAATGCTAAAAAAGCAACACAGCACTCATGTTATTTATTGGACATGGTCCAAAATGAAATGAGAGCAAGCAGTCCTAGGAGAAGATGAGGAATTGAAGACACGTGTCCCAAAAGTTCCTTAGGCACTTCTGGATTTGGAAGGCGGTCCAAGTGTCTCACTAGGCAGAATGAAATTCATAAAATAACATTTCCTATAATAACATTCCACCCTCTTTGCTGTTGTTTCCACAGTGATAATACAAAATGTTTTAGTGGTGGGGAGACGGAAGGCATTGCTGTCTTTTTTGCTCAATAGTTTTCCATAACCTTACTTCACTTCACAGGACTTACACTTTTCATGGCATGATGTCCAATTCTGCCTGGAAAGGTCTAAAAGCAAAGCCACGTAGTACTGTGAAGTAAACTGACTTTCCACCGTGATACCATCGGATCCAAGTCCAGGAAGAATCTCTCTGCGGGCTGAACGCATCACCTCCTATAACACGACGTTTTCTAAGAAAGTATAAAAACAACTACTGATGGCTTTGGAGAAGGGAGGAAAGCTAACTGAGGTCCAACAGATCCTGAGTGTTTTGCAAAGTGGAAATAAATATAAGGGTTGGTTTGTTTTTCCACAGTCCCAAAGTAGTTTTGGCTGAGATCACTTGGCAGCAACTCGAGAAATCATCCATTCTAAACCAGCAGGAAGGCTGAATGGAGAAAGAGAGACGATTAATACTGGCAACCCCCAGTTCACAGTTCCTAGAAGAAAACTGATATTAACTTTGATCCCTTCAAGGAAGAAACCATCTTCTGCTTTTTATCTCAGAGATAGGTGACATGGCACCAGCAGGCCCAAGACAAGCCGCCTCAGTTGACTTCTTTTAAAAATGTACTGGAGGGCACCTGGCATCCTGCACCAGCTTCTGGCTTCAGGAAACCTTCTAGGTTCTGTTTAGATCTCCATGTGCATTCTAAGAAAAAGATGTGGATGGCTGCAACTAGATGTCCAGTGGGGAAAAAAAGGATAAATTGAGGCGGTTGGACAGCATCCGAAAGGCTGATGTAGCAACTTCACTGTTTTACCAGCTGGTAAATGGGTGTTTTCTGACTGGCCCCACCCACCCCTAAACAACTATTATGGAAGAGTACCCAAGATATGGTCTCAGTGATGCAGATATGCTCCTCACTTCCAAAAAGTTGTCTTTCTGCTTTCTTTAATTCTAAGCTTAGGATGAGCCGAAAGGATGGCACCATGTTATGCAGAAACAACCAGAAACCAACCTTTAAATAAACACTAGGGCTGGTCCCAGCTAAAATGATTTTCTCAATTAATTCTAGTTGATTGGGCAATCTTCATGATACTTTGTATGAGAAAACATATGTTTCTCTTTAGAGAAATTGCACATGCATGTATTAAACAGATATAATTTAAGTATTTTCCTCTTTCTTCCACCCCGTCACACACCTAAATGAAAGATAGTGCTGGCCATCTTCTATGCTTGTAAGAACCATTATTAAAAAATTAATCAATCAATGCAACTCAGATGACCGATGAACCACAAACATTTCTATTAATGATGTATTTCAACAATAGAAAATAGCCTGATTTGTTTAAAAGCGTTCCAGATTAAAAGAAAACGATCTGTTTAAAAGTGTTCCAGATCATATCCAATCCAAGCTTGGCAAGTAGACTGAAAGCTGCATTGTGCAATATTGAATTATTGGCCCAGTTAACCCAGAACTGTTTTGCTCTATGCCCAAATTAGGATCCCACCCCATAGGAGGAACTTAATGTTTTCTATCAAGAGAAACGTGATGCTTTTTAAGACTTGGCACTTCCAGTTCTATGCTCACCTGCTCTTTGCTCATTTCACACACCAAGGAGCTCCACATCAGGGGTCTCACGCATGTGGCTTGTGGATCACCTGTGGCCTGCGATGCCTCAGAAACCATGGCACCGCAACAGTGCCCACGCTGGTGAGGCAGCAGCAAAGAACAGAGGCCTGTGGAGCTGCCATGGTGGGAATTGGGCTCCAGCAGCGCTTTAAGGTTTTGAACCATCACAGGTGCTGCGCTGGCATGTAATCGCCCTGCAGGTGTGCAGAGAGACTGTTGCCACTGACATCGCCACTTGTCCATGTTAGTCGGCTCCAGGGGTGGGATGGTGTGAGGCGAGGTGTGGGATAACAGACAATCAGATTGCAGCCACAGTGACACATTATTTTACTGTTTTACAGTAGGCTGCCTATTTTTGCTTTCATTAGCCACCAATGGTGTCATTTTCATTTCTTTTTAAAATGATCCTTAATCATAAATAAGACATCATTTTAATTTAATGATTAATTAGATGAATTGATACGTAACTGATAGGCATTTGTATTTACTATCTGTTGCATGTTTGCAGGTGTATAAATGCAGGGCACCGATTAGCGCACTTAATGTAATGTGTCTCCCCCGTACTCATTGGCGTTTGAGACCCCCGTTCTAGAGGGAAAGGACTCAGCTGCTCCTGGCCCATAGGATATGTAACTGTGGCAGACTGACCCCTCTCCTGTGAGTGCGCAGCACCCTTGAATATGCCATGGGTGGTCTCTGATGGAGCTCAGAGTGAGGAACTTAGAAATCTCAGAGGTAGACATGGAGTTTTTTACATCTTGCTTGTTGGCAAATATCAACACAGCTGCATTGCACAGATCCTGGGGAAAGGAAAGAGAGAATGCATTGTTTATCTCCAGTTCTCATCAGCTCCCTGATTCATTCAAAATGAGGAAAATGGCACATGAAACTATTACGTAAAGGTCAGAACAGAGTATAGTCACTAAAACAGTGTTTCTCAGCCTTTATAGCTTTCAGATGTGTGGACACCAACTCCCAGAATTC